GTAAGCTTCTCGTTTCATGGTTGTCTATGACTCTTACCCCACACTAAGGATTAGGCTAGATGACAATGGTATTTAATCCCGGTCTGTTACGGGAACGAGAAGTCATACATAAAATAAAAGAAAAACATTCTTACCGGTTGTTGATATGTTGGAAAAGGAGTATAGGGAGATAATGTATGAGGTTTTATTAGCGTCAATGTAAACACTAATACAACAAGAATAGATATATAATAATAGAAAATAGAGAAAGGTAGGAAAACAATAAGACAGTATATCAGATATGATGTATCATCGGTGAAAGAAAAAAACAACAACTGAACAGAGAAAAAACATATCTCTGGATAAACAGTAGAAAGTCCAATGGAAATACATATATGGACCCAGAGCTGGGCAAAATACTCGAAGTACTCGTACTCGAGTACGATTTTGTTGGTACTCGTACTCGTACTCGTACTCGTACTCGAGGGGTCGGTACTCGTACTGGTACTCGAGGGGTCGGTACTCGTACTGGTACTCGTACTCGAGAGTGTTGGTACTCGTACACGTACTTGTGCATGTATTTTCACACGTACTTGAGTTTGAAGTGCTCTAAATGTTGAGGATTGACACGGCTGTTTCTTCATCCCAAAATATTTCAGCATTTAGTGTTGAGATTAATTCAGTGGCGACCTTTAATACCGCTGCAACAGTTTATTCTGCATATCTCTCAATCCCTTTTTTAAGTCGCAGGCGTATCGCTCGGAAGAATGATATAGCTTTCGATCATCTCTTTGGAGAGTACGATTTCGTCTCGAAAATAGGTCTCTGAAAAATCGCTTTTCTTTGATCTCGCTACCAGTTAAATTTGTTTTGATGCTCCCGGTTTCGGTCTTGGTTAGATTTTCTCTTGTCCAGATCTTGGTCCTAGATCCGGTCAATATTTTTTATTGGTTTCTGCCCTAGGTCTGGTTAAAGTTTTCTATTGCTTCTGATCCCGATAATTTTTTTAAGAACAAAAGATTTCTAGCAAAATTAAGCCTAAACTTTTACATTTTTGCTCGTATTCCCAAATAGTGATAAAGTTCCATTTTGAAATATAGAGAAGTATCCCAATAACACTTAAGAGTTTATACTAGAAACAGTGAAAGAAAGACAAAAAATGTACAATCAAAAGAATGGTTGAATTTCTATCAACCCAAATATGTGTATATCGTACGAGTACGCCTATTTAAAAACCTATACATATCGTCGAAAAATCTCAGGTGTTGAAATCAGAATCGAGATCAATGAGAGACTCGTATCGGAATGATAAATAGAAATGGCAAATCTACACATTCTTAGTCCCCATCAAATAAGAAGCATGAAAATCTATAGTCTAGTTCTTCATAAAAAATACAGCGGAAGCAGCTTAAAAAGCTTTAGGTCCCGTCTGGATCGGTACCGGAATCGCTTTGCAAATCCCTACTCGAAAAACTAATTACGAGATGTTCTGAAATAAATATCTGCGATATTATCGACTGTCACTGCTTTATTGCTTTCAACACAAAAAATTAAACATTGAGAAGACAAAAAACGCTCTCATCCGCTTTCGTATTTTCAGATAAACATTATTACATCAGATAAGTACCAGGTGCCTATTTCTGTGCTTCTTCAACGCTTCTTGTCTCGAGTCAAGCGCACAATACTATACTAACTACCTTGTGACATACACCGATCATTGCGGTTAACATCTAGCTAGGCAGTCTGTGCGAAAAACTCAAGTGAATGATTGAACGAAATCCGAGTCAAGTCGGCCTTCTGCCGAGAGCTGCAGTTATTACTAAGTGGTTGTAGAAAATATATCGAGCTTACGAAACTGTCACCTGCGGACACCCTATAACCTAAGATAGCCGAAGAGCAGGGTATTCTTATTCTTCTGAATTTTGAAGATGAACAGCATAGCTGATTTCTTACGCGCTTGATTTAATGTAAAATTACACGCAATTCTTTTCAACGATTATATTGCTAAACAGTTGCATATATTCTCAATGTATCAAAATTTCTTGTTCTCAAGCACGATTTTCGCAGTACTCGTACGCGTACTCGAGGGGTTGGTACTCGTACTCGTACTCGAAAAAGTCCGTACTTGCCCAGCTCTGCTGCTCTAGCTGTGTGATAGCAGTTCCGTTATAAAAGCTAGTTTGAATCAGATTGAAAACAATTTGCACAGTTTCTGCTCGTCTGTCAACCACCTATTCTGGACAAATTATAAAGATTCGGTTATAAAAGCTAGTCTGAAACAAACTGATAATAAATCTACAAATTTTCATCCTTTTTTCAAGCACCTGCTCGAGAAAAGTTATAAAGATTAGGTTGTAACAACTATTTCGAAACGGAGTAAAATAATTGTAGAATTTCTCAGTTCTTTCTGACCTACCATGTGATAAAAAAAGAAAGAAATCTGTACTAACACATGAAGCCATGTACGATGTGTATAATCATATTCATGTTGAAGCCGCTTATGAAAGACGTGATAAATACTTACATAGTTTATCGTCCAATTATGGTTGATAAAATACACAGCTATTACCAGCTATCATAAAAATCTGCTCTTCAAAACCTTAACCATAAAAGTCCCTCCTTCTTCTCCTTCTTTTACGATCGGGAGTATTTACTGCTTGAGTAATTAAAGCAGTTATGCTCCAATCAACTGATCATTACCTATTTTTATTAGGTTGAGGGCAAAATTTGACGATCATGTTACTACATCAGATGAATTTAACTAAATTCAAAGTACATTGAATAAACGTGAGTACATCATTCAAGTGTGAGAAACGTCGATTTAAAAATTATTTAAATAAAATCAACAATCTTAACCATAAAACTCTATTCTCTTTTTTCTTTTGTTCTTATTTGTCGGATGCGCGTTTTCTCCCAGAATAATTTAAAAGCTGTGTTTTGATTAATCAAAAGTGTAATAACGATCGCCCGCGCACTCTACACCCTCCTAAATTAGATTAGATTTCAATAGGAAAAGCTAGCGAACTCCACCGTTCTCTTTATCACATCAATAATTACTAATTATACCAATTGATTTCAAATCTGTTATAGCTACTATTCAATATACTTCTTTATTTTGAAATTCATAACTATTTTACTTTAATTTATCTTTTTCATTGCTTCTAATTCTGATCAGTGGTAACTGATTTAAGATCGAAACTAAAATTGCTTTTCTGAGTCATTTGATTTAAATATATTGAAAATGAAAACATTTAAAATTATGTTTAATTTTGCCTGATACATATACATCTATACCGAAATCTTCCAATGATATTGTGTCACTCTTATCAATAACGATGGCAACAAGATCAGAAATTTCCTTCTTAATTATGTACCATTGACATGGTGTAATGACTGTTCTAAATTGAGTTTAAGAACTCCCACCCTTAAAAAACTATATTTTCGACAAAATTGAAGCTGGTTTTATTATAGAAAAATGCACCGAAGTCTCCTCTTCCAAAATATGTATGGTTTTTTCCCAAGATGACCAGATTTTAATAAACTGCCAAAGGAGTTTGGGGTTCTACTACCATGTTTTTCGAGGTATTTTTGAGGCTTTTTAATGTTTTTCTTTTATTTTAATTACCATAGAATAAAACATTTTTATATTACTTATTAGACGCCATTTAATACTCGAGATAAGAAAATATATTTATATTTTGTTTTGAACAGGGGATCTATAAATCACACATATTGTACAGAAGTCTAGCGGATTTGAATGAAAAATTCATTTCTAAAACTTTTTTAGCGTTTTTCTTGAAACATGGTTTCCCACTAGAAAAAGTGGAAATCCTCCTACCTGGCTTGAGCTATAATTAATATTTTTTTCAAATTTTAAACCTCTAAGTGAGAGTAAATTTTTGTCCGACCCAGGCTTACGGATTAGGCAGGGATGGAAGGGAATTCCCCCCGCCAAAAATTGAACATATGTTCGATTTTATGCGAAAATCTCTAATACTTTGCCAAATTTTTTGAGGCCTCATGGCAAATTCTTGGAGAAATCTGATTGTTTCGCGCTTTTCGTCCTTTTTCTGCCAGAAAGTTGAATAAAAACACATTCTGTCAACGAAATCTTGCAGAAAGTCGATGAATTTATCAGTTTTCTGTTCAGTTTCTGCCGGAAAGTCATATGTACTACCTTCTGTGAAAATTTTCAGACTTTCTGACAAATTTTTATCTCCTCCCAATTTATAAAACAATTGGAAGCCCTGGTTTGACAAGATTTTTTTTATATTTGATTCCTGAACTGTGAAAACTCAAATTTAATATCGTGCGGTACGCTTTTTTAGGCCTATTTTGACCCTCAGATCACTAAAATACTCACAAAAAATGAATGGAAGCAAATTTCAAAATTCTGTTCGGACCAAAGTTGCGCATTGGTGTTAGGTTTAATTTAAAACTAATCTCAGCTTTGCTCTCGTAATAGTAGGGCCTTAGAGTTTCTTCTGAAGGCTATAAATTGACCCTAAATAAGTCAAAACTCAGGTCTGGTTCGACATATTGAGCTGAAATTTTTACCAGATATGTTTCTCACTAACACCACTCATCCTTGAAAATATCAGGTCGAACGAATCTTGTTAAGTGGAAAATCCATTTTAAGGGAGGGGGGCTTAACAAGATTGAGTTCGCATAAATTAGGATAATTGTCAACATGAATAACATATTCCATCAATGATAGTTGAAGAGTAAGACATTTCGTATTCTGATGAATTCGAGACAAAATATCCAAACACCATAAATCAAACATCAGATCAGTTAATGAATTACTCTCACTAATCTATCGTTCGAGTAAAAACAGTATGATATACTATACTATCACGTCTTTCATTGACACCCATAAAATATGATACATCGATATTTTTCAATTATGAAATAAAAATGTTCTATTCTGGTACATGTGAATTGAAGAAATCCTTGAAATAATATTAAGACAAAAGAATATATTTATTTGAATAGTACTTTGTTTTCTTTTGAAGTGCAGATCATTGACATGAGCTACGATCGATAAGAAATTTGAGTACTCGATAATTGGCATCAACTACATAAAGATTTCCATCAAGATCAAATGATAAATCGATGGGTCTCGAAGTTTGATCTAATTGAGAACCTGCACCACGACCACCGACGACGACACTGCCTGATCTGGCTCCAGGTGCCCATCGAACTATTCGATGATTATCAGTATCAGCCACATAGACATTACCCAATTGATCAACAATAGCACTATTTGGAAATAATAATTCGTCAAGACCATGACCCGGAGAACCACCAGCAACACGAACAATTTCTTTTGTTTCGAGATCTATTTTTAGGACTTGGTGTTTAACAATCTCGGCAGCATAAATAGATGGACATCGATCAGTGCACGGTCTTACAACACCAGGAAGTCCTGAAGCAATTAGTTTTCCAGTCGTTTGACCAGTACTCCACTTAATTAATTCACCCTTGTCCATATCAGCTACATAAATTGATCCTCTTTCATCTTGTGCTACACCAGTGGCAGTTATATTTGTAAGAATGGAACGTCCACTTGGAGCATTTCGAAACCATTGTTGGACACGACGATTCATAAAATCACTAATATACATTGTTCCATTACGATCGACGGCAACATCATCTGGATCATATAACTGATTATCATTGTGGCCCACTCCATTGCCACCTGCAACAAGCTGACCAGTTGAAGCTCCTCGATCCCATTTGACTATACGATTATTTCCAAAATCTGCTACATAAACTGCTTGATTATCATCAACGAAAATTCCATTAGGAAGCGCTAACTGATTAAGCTCAGATCCTGAATCATTACCACCAGCAACAATAGTTCCATTTTGAGCCCAAGTTGCAGTTGCACAAATACCATCACCAGGTTTTGGAAGACCTAAAATATCGATTATGACCGAAGAAATTTCACTGTATTTGTTTGTTCTCTTACCTGGTATCGGCGGACAAAATCGTTGTTGACTCTTTGACAATGGATAACAAACAGGATGGCTAAAACATCGTGGATGATCAACACATACATGACCAGGTTCATAACAATTATTAGTTTTACGGTCGCATGCATTTAATTCAGAACAAGTTACCCAGAGATAACCACATACACCACTTATATTCATTGTTGTCTTTTGAAAACATCCACATGCAGGATTACTTGAACATCCTTCATATTGAGACCTTTCAAAACATCCTTGACTATTCGTTACAACTATCGAGTAACTAAATTAATATCTCAATCAATATAAAAAATTAATAATCAAACCTGCAAAACTAAAATAGAAGATTTCTAGATCTTGGAAAAATTAACAATAAACAATTACCTTAATATGATAATAATCATACAAAAATTTGCTACTATCATTATTACTTCTCTGATGATCGTACTTTTTTTTTTATAATAAATAAATCGTATCATTCGCACCCCTTTATAAATAGAACGCCTATACTATTATATTGCGATTAATATGGAAATTAGATACTATCACTTGCCTAATCTCACCATTCGAATATAAATGATGATTCAAGAGAATAGTATTTAATGAATAAAAAGTGAAACAAATTTTTTACTGCAGAAGCAGCAAAACTAATCGAAAGATGAACCTACTCAATCGATGATCATAGATTTTACTAGTTTTTATATATGTTATAGGGACAAATATTTTCTACAATTATACATATTCGGATCATACGCTTTCTAATAAAAAAAATATGACTCTCTACGATGTTCCTAAGCGAAGAACGATGTCTCGACATTTCGGCAATTACTTTTGCATCGCAGGTTATAATTATATTTATCAAACCAGATTAAATCGATTTTCGTCCATTGGCTCTGCAAACAATGTCCTATGTATACATATTTCTATTTCTAGATTGTGTCGAAAAAAAATCTTTGATAAATTTTAAAACTTTCTTATTTTTGTGCTAGTATGCGTTTGATATAATGTGCGTTTTACCTCAATCATCAGCAAGTTATGTGATGGATACGTTTTCTTACATAAAATATATCAGGTATACGTTATGGATGATTGATTCGTTTTATTATCATATTATTAGAACAGCGTGAAAGATATTTTATTTTTAATTGATACAATAAAATTATAGATAAATAACATGAGATAAAACATTCATTTTCATTTTGTTCATCAGAGTTTTATTTAATCAGAGAACCGCATTATTAGTTTCTTCAGAAAATATCTTTATTTTTAGTCTTATTGGTTCTCGTAATAGCTTGATGGTAACAGAGCTTGCTTAAGTATATAGTTAGATAAGTTTGAGTGAATTGAGAATAATACTGCCAACATGTGATATCATGGGAATATGTGAATTATTTCGATTTTCGATCAGTTGTCTGACAAATGTTAATGGGTTGGAATCGAAGCACGTTTGATAAATTTGTAAACAGGAACGATGTTCTGGACGGCTCACAAAACCATCAACAACAATCCAACCTTTTTCGAATGCTTCTTCTTCTTTGATTGTTCCGAATTTAGGGCATAAGCCTAAACAATGGCAATAAGCGGTTTGCTCGTTCACACTCTCAAAATAAATGGTGCCATTAAAGATAAATAATTGAACCAACAGGTCCAATGGTATTGTGAAAGCAGCAGCAGGGTGTGGGGTGTGGGTGTGGGTGTAGGTATGGGTGTGGGTGTGAATGACGGAAATACCCACACCCACACCCTTTTTCAAAGTCTTGTAAAGCCTTTGAAAAAATCTTTGAAAGTCTGTGAAAGATCTTTGAAAGATCTTTGGAAGTCTTCGAAAGTCTTTCAAAGATCTTTCAAAGGTCTTTAATACGGCTGGATGTGGACTTTGTAAATGGAACGGAAACAGATGCCTTATAACCGGATCCTCCCGTTGGGAAGAAGCACCGGTACCATAGTTTGGAAGTGTACCGGAAACGGCAGGTATACAACTCGGATCCGGTTAGCGTGCTATAAGACGGGAAACTTGGTCGGGAACCGCACCGGAAACAACAACTGGATCCAAACATTGCACCCGGGTGCATGAATTAGCGGGAACTAAGCAGGATCCGGAAGCCGGATCCGATTTTGGAACACTGCTTCCAGGAATTGACCGGAATTTCACAGGATCCGACCGTTTCCTGCGGTACAGTTTTGACCTGGGTAGTTAATACGTGAAAAATATTTATTTTATTAATTCATGTTAACGTTATATCTTGTTTTAATTCTTTTAGTTTTTAGATAATTAACAATTTCAATTTGGTTTATATCATGCACATGCTTTATTATTTTATTTAGATCTTCAATTCTAATAAATAATCTATGAATAAAATCAAAAATACTATTACATTTATCAATTTGAAAAAGATAAATTCACTTAATATATATATGATAAAAATTATGAATTATATTTGAATTCTCAAGACTGTGCTTACAAGGAGAGTTTCTTAACTACTTTTGTGTCAGAATAATGCGTATCATGTAGGTTCAAATGAACAATAAATACTCTACAAAATGCTTCCTGACTTTAACCTTTTAAATGAACGCCTTAGTTTCTCTCAGAAAAATAAGTTTTGATACTTCCATTTCGGACTTTGTACAAAGAGGATGTGGGTGTGGGTGTGGATGGGTATTAGTTTCAATGAATTACTCACACCCACACCCACACCCCGATGTTTTTATTTTACCATTGTGCTCATCTCTGGTTTTTAAAAAATGCTAAATATCTCTTTGTTGTTAAAATTTTTTATGACTTCGTGCTAGAGTAGTAACTTTCTATAAAAATATTTACCTAGATAACTTTCACTTATATATCGGTTAAAGAATTTCTTCATGGAAACTGTCATATTTGTTACTTTGCTTTTGCTTCTTTTTCTCCAGGTTGAAAGTGAATGTTTCGTGAAGGACTCTACATGGAATCTTTCATTAAACAACAAAGATTCAATGCTGAAAATGACGAAAAGAAATTAAATCGTTAACCCTTTATCTCCTTCCCCTCCAGCACAGTGGAGAGAGAAAAAGGCAGGAGCAATTCCTAGGCATCGAATAGCTTTTGAGTCGAGACTATGTATGTTATGTAGGCCCTAATGAGCTATGAACATCCTGAAAAAAGTTCGTGCTTATAGCTTATTTCTATCGAGATATTTAGCTTTTATGGTATTGTTTAGGAAAAAGTCGTGGTTCCCTTCAGGTTCACTTGAAAAGAGAATTTTCGAATTTTGACTTGAAACTTTGCTCAGAGAAAGATCTCAATAAGACTAGTTTATTCTAAAAGTTTTGGACTTTTGGGTTCCTGCTATTGCGAGATACAAGTATAAGGAAAAAAGATTCTTTTTCACGTCACTTATAGCACAAAATGTTAAATGTTCATATTTAAGAATAGGGGCAACCAAGAAATTTGAAACTTTCAGAACTAACTACTCTCATTGAGATCTTTCGTTATGCAAAGTTTCAAGTCGAAATTCGAAAGTTAATTTTTCATATGAACCTGAGGGGGACCACGGTGTTGTGCCAGAAATGCCAAATAGCTCGACAAGGGTTCAATAGCGCATCTTTGTGCATCCACTGAAGACAGATGATGATATGCTCTACCAAATAACAAACTAAAACTTGAATTAAAGCTTCGGGAAAATCCGAGAAACGAATTGCATTACTGGCTAGTATCTATTGTTTACTATACTAGGCCTATGTTTTTCATCTTATTAGACCATAAAGAACTTTAGAAAATTCCAATATTCTGTAATATACAGTAAATATATAACACTATATAACACCTATTGAATATAATTAGATCCTCAATTTAAAACATATATTTTACTTATATGGTCCCATTAATAATATTCACCTATTTTACATACTTTGTGGTATCTGTTGCTTAATAGATACTCATTATCCAGCAGTACCCAGAATGTACTTAAATGCAGCACTGTAGTAGCTTCAATGCTAGCTATGATATGGGCTTAGATCTCGAAAATGCGATTTTGTCGCCTAGTTGTCTACTGTGACCCATATCCACACCCATCGTACCTTATGGCACAGGTCTTATGCCTCTCCATTTGTCGTTACATCGAGAAGGAGCTGTTTGGTAGCATGAAATTAAAGGCGTTTTTAACAGGAAGTTTCGAGGAAAATATTTGATGTTTTGTCAAGTGATCGGCTACAATAACAAGGATCTAGAAACTATCACGCGATCTAGGGTACAACCTTTTTTTAGAGAGTATGGTGTTATTTACTCGATATTCTGCTTTCAGAATTGTGTCAAGCAAGGCCAAATGGTCGACGCGTTACTTGTTTCATCTAAAACCATCGTCAAATGTTTGCAAATGCTGTTGTTTACCTGTATTATGCAACAAACAAATTTCTAAAAGATTATCTTGTTTTTGACATTTTCTTTCTGAATAGGATGAATTACGTATCCCCATGAAGCGATCCATCGTATGATGATTATTCTCTCATCATTTTTGTCCCTTCTTGCGATTTTATTTTCTCTGTTAAACGACAACTCATTTTTATTGTGATTCTTCTTGCCGATGCAGCACTCACAGACGAGAAAAAGAACGTGAGAAAGAAAAGAAATGCTACACATCCGTTGCAAGGAGACCAGAAAAAAATACGTGTGGCAATGTTTTGGCAACAGCTAACATGGCAATATTTTAACCTGCCACATAGTTATATGAAGAGAAGCGAGTTTCAAATACACGTCGTTTGCAAGAAAATCATTCGGCAAGTTTAAAATGCGAATGAAATTTTGAAAATGGATAAGCAAGAAGTGTATCGTGGTCGTTTTACACATGTTGGCGACCGTAAATTGTATTCGGTTCGAGTTTTTATCAGTTCAACATTTTCTGGTGAGTTGCTGTTGTGAAAATGTCTGAAAACGTTCTTTTCATACTGTCTATCGGAATAGATACGGTTGATGAGCGCAATGGACTCATTGAACATGTCTATCCTCGATTGCGCGATTATTGTCGTACTAAATATAATCTTCAATTTCAAGTAAGTTAGCAAAGCTCATGCGAGGTAAGAATAGCTATTGAAATTTTCAGAAAAAACCCAACAGAATAGAGTTAAGAAACTTTTACGTATAGCCAGCATTTGAACTAGCAATCATGACTATTCACACATGATCAATTTTTTTTTAGAGACATTTGTTGGAATTGTTTTCGAATAACCTTTGATTCAATACTTTATCATCTTGCTTACAACATTCGAAGGATTTACTAGACATCCTTCGATTGATGAAGTTTATTCTCTCGACCGTAGGGAGAATCATATGAAAAAAGTGAAAAGAGTTTGTCTGTCTGTGGATTTGCGGCAAGGTCAAATAAACATCAGAGGTAAAGTTTATTTAGGGATAACTTCTAAAGTTTCACCGAAGATAATTGAGGTCGGGAAATCCGATTCCGACGTTAAATTTTTCATCCGGGCTTCCCATTGGCTAGAAAGCCGACCAATCAGAAAACGATCTTTTTTATTTTAACGCATTGCGAGGATCTGGGAATGTGGGTATCAATCTTGTGATCGCTCACATTAACACCCACACTCACACCCTTGATTAGAGAAAGAGAATCTGAAAATCTATGTCGTGCTGGATCCAGAGATGTCCATCACGGTTGAAAACTGACCGCTGCCACGCCGCGACGATTAAAGAAAAAAGCCAACGCGCCGCTGGCGCACCGCGGTGATAAAACCAGAAAACCTACCGCGACGCTGCCGCGACGCCCCCAAAAATAACTATGCCGCGACCGCGCTGCTGCCGCGGTGATTGTTTAAAAAAAACAACCGCTACCGCGCCGCCATGGACATCTCTGGCTGGATCCATTGAATATGTTGAGTGTACGTTCTGATGCGAGATAGCAAAGACATCTTCAAGAGTGACATATATCATTTAAAGAAAATATGTAACGAGGATACTGAACTTTTTAAAATCAAAGATAGTTAAAAATAAAAAAGCTTTCAATAATTTTATTATGTGGTTATCATAGTTGCTAACCCAAATAAGGATTGAAGTAAAAACTTGCTTAAGTAGACTCACCCCTTTCCGGACGTGAAAATCAAAAATTTTTCGATTTCTGGTGTTTCATCGCTAATATACCCCCGAAATGTTCTCTGTCAAATAACATATAAAAGAAGGGTCTTCGTTGTTGGTTAGTTCTTTTCTTAAATCCAACTTTCTAAATCCCTAGCAACAAAACTTCATGAGTCATGAACTTTAACATCACTGAACACGATCAGTATTCGATTACTTTCGTTGAAGAAAAAAAAAATCCTGATACATACCCAGGTGATTCGATCCGACTGTCGGATTACGTCGGATTATATCGGATTATATCGGAAAAATTACCGGATTTTAACGGATCCGACGGGAACTCGTCGGAAGTTGTCGGCGTCCTAGCCACAGGATTCCGACAGGAGGTTCCGGATGTCGGAATAATCAGGATCCTGCGAAATCCCTGAAACTCCGACACTTTCCGACATCCAGAACCACTTGTCGGAATCCTGTGGTTAGGATTCCGACAAATTCCGGCGAATTTCTATCGGATTCGACAGGGTGAATTCGACCTGGGATATAGAGGAAAATTTGTTTGTCGTTTTTCTCGAAATCAATTTGTTGACAAAAAAATGAAATTTTATCTTCTTTTCTTCTACATAGTAGGTCTGATCGGACTCGAAACTTTTTAATGAGCATTTTGATCGAATCAAGGTGCGTGTTTCATTTTTTTTAAACATGTTGTTCCTATGAAATTTGGCAGCTGTCACAAGAGCTGCATCATTGCAAAAAAACACATTTTTTTTTATGGTGTCTTCAGTATTTTGGTTCCCCTAGGCTTCAGGAACAATATCTTTCAAAGAAAAAAAAACACGCATCCCAATTTGTTCCTAATTGTCACAGAAGAAAGTTTCAGCCTTAAAAAAACCTTGGATCATTTTTAGCCCATATAACTCGCATATCTCGTTGAAGGAAGCATTCAGAAGTTTTGACTCTACGATAATTTTTGCCCTATTCATTGAGATCTATCTGTCAAGAAAGTTTCATTATTTTTCGTCGAGCTGTTCTCGAGAAACTCCGAAAAGGTAATCTTAATTCTATTCTACACGGTTTTATTTGTCAATCTCGATACTTTTGGTATGGCATATATTACAAAAAAAAGCATACGCCTTTTAATTCTGACTGTCTTTTCATATGATTGTTCGAATAGTATTCCGACATGCGCTGGGGCATTCAATCGACTGCAGCAAATAGTCATGCGACCGTTGATATGTGCTTGCAAGAACTCGACACATGTTGTCGACTATCAATGGCTACCAATTGCGTTGTAAGATCTTTGATATTATTTTAATTGGCCTAATTCTTATTCGAAGGTGCTCTTGAGCCATCGATATGGCAGTCGGCTTGTTCCTGCAAGTATTCCACAGAGACTCTTTCAAATACTCAACAATGCTCTCTCGGTCAATGCTGAAAATAAACAGTTTCTCTCAGAAATGTATCGATGTGACGAGAATTCACTTAAACCAGAGTATTTTCTTCGTCCAATCGAGAATCCTCAGGAATGGACATTAAGCGAGAAGAGATTACAAATAATTTTACGTCAAGCAGCTGATACATGTTACAAGCAGGGATCGATTTCAAAAGATGAATGCAATCAATTTTACATATCGGGTTTGATCAAACATAAATATTATATTGTATTTAAATGCACTGCTAGTTGTGCTCGTTTAGTGACGGCCAAAGAAATCTATCGAGCTTTGCAAAATAATAAAACATCACGTCGAATACTCTGTTTCTTTCGAGAAATTATTGATATTGAAGAACTTGATTCGAAATTTCGCGAAATTGAAGATGCAACCGAAGCGCAATTGTTATTGAATGAAATCAAAAATGTACTGCATCAGTCTCTCGATTCGATGGATATTCGTACATATCGAGTAAATAGAATTGTCATCTATTTTATTATTTTTTTGATTTTTTTTTACAATCAGATCCATTGGAATGATACAAAACAACGAACTGAGTATTTCACCAAATTTTTTGATGATTTCTTCGATAGTATGAAAAATCAAATTGACTATCATATGGAACAATCTTGTAATAAAAGAGCAACAATCGATCCATTGTACGATCAAATAATCGAGCATGCTATTCAATGTAATTTACTTATACAACGATACTTTCCTCGAAAAGATATTCTTGAACAAGTAAGATGCACATTTACAATTGTGATGCGATTAATTTAGAATATTTATTCAAGTATAAAACAGCCCACACACTAAAAAATAATGTGTTGGATACGTCATGTTTTCCGACACATTCTATGACTGCAGTTCGAACTTAGGCTACATTAGTGCTTGGAAAATTTTTCAATTTTGGAAATGGATGATTACTTTTTTCGAGTTCATTTAAATTCGTCATATTGTTATAGCTTGCTCTCATCCTTGAGTGATGCACGACAACCAGATTTTAGATCCTGACATCTTACATTGACTGCATCTCCATCGAGCTGCTCCGAGGTACTTCGGTGTGTTTTGTGCACTCCAGAAATCTATGTAATTGCTCGTGAGTTTTTATATTATCGAACCAGTCACACCTCAAATAGCGCACTATCTACCACGATGACTTCTAAATTTGGTACTTGCTAGTCCTACTTGGTGCGTTGTCAAACTTTGTTACGTAGTGTAAAGGTGAAAGTGTTTTTTGGATTCTTTAAGGATGGTTCGTTTGATTTCAGCAAATTCAACGAAACAAAAATTGTTCCATACTTTGAGTTTTGAGATCTGGAGAAGCTAATAGAGGATTAGTCACAGCAGTAACTTATGAGAAAAACCAAAATGTTCTTTTAATCGAGTCAACGTTGATATCGTTTTCCATCGTTCTTACGAATCACCACAGTCGGAGCTCGATACTGTGCACCGTAACTCGCACTATGGACATTTTGCATATTCTATCGAGTTTCATTTGGGACTCAAGCTAAGCAGGTTGGTTGAAAAATGAGTTCTAAAGAGAATTCTTTCTTTTATTATGAGGTTCATAAGATCAGATCTTTGTTTTACAAAAATAAAATGACAAAAAGACAAAACGTGTTGGGTTCAAAAACGAAAATCCTGGTCAAATAAAATAGAGAAATATCAGCGATATTTAAAAGTGCGGGTTTTGTTGTGTTCATGACAGAAGACTAACGGGTAAGGTAGAAATAATGGGACATTTTTGTTTTCTATTTTTGAGATACTCAACAATCGTGTTAAAATCTGGTTTTGAACTCATTCAATAGAGAATTGATTTGTGTACAAAACTGTCAAATGCATTTTTCGCAGGCGTGAAATTTACAAGATTCACACATAATCAATTATCCATCTGCGAAGGCTAAAAACACGAAAACACAATTGACGGAACTATTTTTAAACGAGTCTGCTTGAATATCAAGTACACCACTAAATTCTACATCTTTCAATATAGTTTTCAAAATTTTAAAGGAACAGATTTGAGGTGAAAAATATGAAATCACAAAAAAAAATCTTTCCGAACAGACCTATGACATTGTCATTTTTTAATTCGAAACAGTCAAAATAGTTTAACTGTTCAAGTCACAATTTATACCATTTTTTTCTCAGAACTAAATTCTACATACGGCAGCATGAGTATCAGTGTTGCATATGACAAGTCTATTTTTGAAAACCGTTATTGTCCGGAATGTTTCCAAAAATTGCACCAAGCGTTAGTTCAAAGTCTTTTTCTCATGAACAAAAGCACTAAGAGTATTGAAAAGATCGTGAAAGTACAGAACACAAAATTCTCTATCTATTGATGTTAAATATTTTAGTTTGAGTATCGATCGATCGGGAAAGAATAAAAATTTTCGGATGGACTATTGAATAGGTATTAATCTTTGAAATTTTGCGCTGATAAGAAAGATTAATTTGAAAAAAAAAACGCATTCGATAGTTTTCTTAAAAATGAATTCTCTATGAAACAAGCTGAGACCCAGATTTAAAAACGATTAGTAAGCACTTCAAAGATAGAAAACAAAAGTGTCCCATTATTTCTGGTTTACTTGTAACATGTTGTCTTTTAGGAACATAGTGTACTTAACATTTTTGAAGTCAGGACTTGTTAGTCGATTCTTCCGAAGAATATAATTAAAACAGAGAGAGAGTGCAGGACCAATAATAACAAGTGACTTGATGTGTGTATTTCTATTGAAAATAAACAAATGCCTGCATAAATGTGCAGTTTTTGCGTTTGAAAGTATCAGTGCATTTAGAAATTACATCTAATAGCAAGTGTTTCTGCGATGGATATATCTTCTGATACAAAATATCCAGCTCAAGTTCAGATCAACTTGATCTGGTAATCCAATTCTTCGACTTAGTTCTCATGAACTGTTGAATTTGAGCTGTCACATCTGTAATTCTAACTTAATAAAGTCAACTTCGATCAAAATTATCGTTGATATAGAATTGTTCTCATCACTCAGACATTTTTTGTCATTAATATGGCATTATGGTCATTTTTTTCAGGTAAAAAATTATATCATGTCAAGTGACAGAAATTCATGTCCTTGCGTCGTGCTATTCGGAGAATCTGGCACTGGGAAATCATCGATCATGGCCAAACTTGTGACTGAAGTAAGTGAATCTATCGAATATCATCACTAGTTTTGAATAAAATCTTTTCAAGATACCTTCTTGGTATTCTTCATCATCTACTTCCCTTTCCATCATCATTCGTTTCTTGGGTACTACACCATCTTCTAGTGATATACGTCGTCCTCTCATCTCAATCATTCAACAAATCTGTACGATTTATCAATTGACTCGTCCAACAAATCTAGATAACATGTCAACGACATTGACTGAGTTAAGAGATATTCTTCAGCATACTTTCTCTCTTATTCCATCCGATCAACAGCTCATTATCTTACTCGATTCACTGGATCAACTTCAAATAACTGATCTACAAAATCTGTCTATCTGGTTACCTCGTATTTATCCATCGGCGAATGTCAAATGCATTCTATCGACAATTCCAGAAATTGAATACGAAAGAAAAATGATCGATATTCATGGACTACTCAAATCTTTGTTTGACTCTGATATGATAGAACTCAAAGTACCGTTGTTAAATGAGTTTCTGGCTCGTCAAATTCTCGATGCTTGGTTAGATGAAGATCGACGTTGTTTGACACCAATTCAACTCGATTGGCTCAAATCGAAATTATCTTCATCGTATTTTCTTACACCTTTATTTCTCTCTCTCATTTACGATCAAACACTCTCATGGCATTCATTCGATACTGAGCCCGATCAAACTTTTCTTGCCATTAAAAGCACACGTGATGCTATCGGATATCTATATACACAATTAGGAAAAAAATATGGTCAAGTTTTATTCACACGTTCCATGCGCTATCTACAATTATCTGGTGGTTTGAGTGAACTAGAGTTGGAAGATATTCTTTCATTAGACAATACAGTTCTTCAATCTGTCTATGCCCATTATCTTCCACCATTTGGTCTCTTTCGATTACCATCGACGTTATGGATTCGTATTCGAAATGATATGTATAAATATTTAATCGAAAAGGAAATCGATAATGTCCCATGTATCTATTTGTGAGTACAATGATAAATTAAATTTATATCAAAAAGTCATTTTGATTGTTAAGACGATAAAGTCACATCGATTAGTTATTATTGAATTCTATGCAAATCTTCGTCTGAATGATTGTTTGCGCATTCAAATTCCAACAGCAGCTATAGTTTTCTTTTAAGGGTCCACCTCTTACAATGGATTTTCCTCTTAAAACTGACTGTTTGGAGTGAAATTTTCAGGAATGACTGGTTTTGATGAGAAACACTTTTGGTAAAAATTTCAGTTCGATACGCCATACTCGACCAAACTCCCAGCTTGTTATTATGGCTTCAGGAGAATCTTTCTAACTTGGTCACAATAAGAGGTACAGACTTCGGGGTTGTTATAAATTACAGCTGATATCTTTGTGCTATTTTTGGCCGAACAGAATTTTGAAACTTCCTGTTGTTCATTTTTTATGAGCATTTTAGCAGACATGATGTTAAAACATGCATAAAAATGGCTACCTTTACGACAATCAATCTCATTTTTCTCAGCCTTGGAATCGAATACAAAAAAAAAGTCTCACCGGACAAAATTTTACTTTAATTTTGACCTTTAAAATAAAAAAAATATTGGTTATATCTTAAACGGGATGGAAGCTACTTCAATTTTCCTGTTTGAAAACCATGTTCTGAAAAAAACCGCTACAAAAGTGTTTTAGAAATGGATTTTTTTTCATACAAAGCCGAAAAATTCATGTTAAAATACTATATTTCCAATACAATGTTGAGGATAAAGTATAAATATATAATCCTTATCTTGAGTGTTGGTGAGTGGCTAATAGTTAATATAAAAGTGTTTTGTTCAGTACTGATACAAGTATTAACGCGGTTTTTTCCAAAACTGAAAAACTTGAAAAACTCGCAAAAATTTCTCGGAAAACCTCATAGTAGCGTCGAACTTTCCTCTAATAAGTCTATGACAATCTGGTCGTTTTTTCGAAAAGCCATATATATATTCTGAAAGAGAAAATTTCGGTGCATCTTCCTATGATAAAAACTCAACTTTGATCTTTTTTCGAAAAATTGAGTTTGCTAAGGGGACCTTGAAGAAGGCTCCTTCGAGTTTTTACACTCAGTTTTTTTCATGCTGCATAAGAAGAAAAAATGTGCTTGGAATTGTAGAAAAATGAGAAAGAGAAATGAGCCTATTCTCGGAATGGGAGAGTCGTTTTTGTGGAAAATCAGACGTTCCTAATATTTCGAGTTTTTTTTCCTGGAAACTATGTTGTAAAAAATTAAAAACAAGATATTCTTGTGCAGTTTTTAGACTCTAGCCAACCATATGGAAATAAATGAAAAAAAAATTTCGAATTAGTCGCATATTAACCAATACTTGTTGTTTTATTGCGGTATTTCGCTTCCCACCTTTTTGTCTGCTACTACCGATTTGCAAAATGAATCGAATTCGATCGATTTTTGAACTATTTCAACTTAAAATAACACACAAATCGATTAAATTCAATTCATTTCGCAAATCGGTATTAGCAGACAGAAAAAGTGGAAAACGACATACCGCAAGAAAACAACAACAAATATTGGTTACAATTTGATAACTGAACATGGAATGCATTCGTATGATTTTCAACAAACTGTTACAACCAGATACTTATCATATGGTGGGTCTTTGACTACTACAACCTAGCATATTCGATGGATAAGATATCAAAAACGAATTCAATGATATTAAGTCAAAAATCAAGCAATGAAAACAACATCATCCACGAACTTTTTTATGATATAGAAAGCTGTCAGCGCAATCCCTGTGGGATTAAAATGTAAAACACGATGGAGCTGCTTGCGCTGTCATATTTCATACTAATCCCACAGTAAAGCTCGGTTTCCCAGATATATCTATCACGATGTATAATGCAGCGGATAGTGTTAATAACGGCGTGCGGGGTGTTAATGAAGGGAGTGCCTGTGATGAGGCGTTGCTCAGGTGTCTGTGAGGTGCCGTTGCTAACAATATCTGCCGCGTCTCTTCTATACTTCAACATTCGTTTTAGATTGTGTTTCACAAAAACAGACCAAATTTTTGTATTTCGATTAAAGATCTTAGCTTTGGACAATACTTATGAACTTCGCTCGTATAAATCAAAACTCAGTATATTTATCGATCATTTAAAAACAATTAGTTGATAAAATTAAATCAAATAATAAAAATATATGAAAAAAAAACTTTTAGGAAAGGACTTTTGGGGCATCCTGTAGATTTCGTGTTACTTTCAAGCAGAATAATAAAATAAAATTTCAGAACTAAAACAATTCACAGAAGGTAACGGTTCTTGAGTTTTTTCATTTTTCGGAACCTTATATTAGGGATCGAGAAATCGTGAAAAATTTATCACATACGAAACTCAAGGAGCTCTACAATATTTTAAAAAAAATTCAGGATTGATCGCCTGGCGTTCCGATGAAGGAAATATTATTTCAATTCATAAGTTCGTCATTCAGCATGATTTTTTTCATTTGAATCCTATTCCAAAGAGCATTGATACTCTAAAGACAATATTTTCTTTCGCATTTCTATTTACTAATACATGAATTTTTTACCAGTTATCATCAAAGTTTTCGATCCTATAAGCCATTTGGCATACAATCTTTTATCGGTTGGGATGAAACAACAGAAAAAGAAATGGAATCAATTCGTCTTGATTATTTTTCCAATCGACATGTTAAACCATTTGATATTTCGTATTCACAAAAATTGATGCGAAAATACCAACTCTCGACTGCATCACTTTCGGTTGAACGCTGTCTCACTATCCAGTTATCCTTAAAACTGAAACAAATGGAATCAAAAATCAAATATAATCTGCGTCGTCTTCATCAATTATGCATTAATCTCAATCGATATGATTTTGCTCATCCATGGACTATCTTCGATTATGATTTTCTCTCTACCTATCTTGGCTGTGGTGAATTTAAAATGTCCGATTTACTCTATCAATTTTATCTTGGTTCTCATGATCCAAATGGTGAATTACGGTTTCTTCTTAAACAATTCGAAACATCGAGTGCAATACTCGATCAATATCCGGATAATCTAGCTTTTGAACTTGCCTATCGATTCTCCTCACTCATTCATCTTCTACCTGATTTGACATACAATTTATTCGAACAATGTTTATCTCAATGTTCGTTAGTTCTAATAACGAATAGCGAACGTCAATCATGTTTAGCTGAGCATTGCATGATGAACAACTCTCGTATTGTCAATCTAACGATCGATTCAAGTCGTATATTTGTTCTGACCGATGATCATCGATTGCGTATCTACGATTATGATTATTATGGATTATTGCTGAGAGACAATCGAGAGTTTGCAAACAAGACAGAATCTAATGAAAAATTTCTCTCACTTCTTTGTAGTTATCCATATGTATGTGTGATTTCTTCATCTTCATCGATGATAGTGATTGATTGTCAGAAAAATGGAAGTATCATACGAGTGTCTTGTACTTCTGTCATATCGTTTATCAATAAATATCTCGTTCTTGTTGTTATCAATTCATCGATGAACAATAAAAGTTCACTAAAATTGTGGAATTGTCAAACGAATACATTCGAGAATAACTACGATTTTCTCGATGATTCTATTGCCCATTGTTCCATCCAACAATCTATGGTTCGTGTCGTTTTGCAACATAGTGGAATTATTCAGTATTTGTCAATTGATAAGAACGCACAGTTCAATGTACTTCGAATGGTGAATGAGAGAATGGACAAAAATCAGCATTGTATTCTTCTCAATGCTGATTGTGAATTTTATTATTCATCAAGTCAAACTCATGCTATACTTGTGATCTATCGAAATGATCAATTTCAGAAAGAGATTATCGATTTTCATTTACCATTTGTTTCGATCGTATTTCTGCCTCAGAGTCATTCGATAGCCTGGTTAACTGCAACATCGGTCTCAATTTTTGATCCGTTGACCGATGGACATAATTCTAAACTGTTTACTATCCATATCGAATGTGATACAGTCCATGATCATTATTATTCTTCGGATGAGTACGGTGGTCAATGGAATTTTATTGTTTGTATCAATAAAAAAAGAAATATCATCGATTTTTACGTATGGCAATATGACACCGATCAACATGAATATATTCATCAATATCTATCTCGTGTACAATTTGATTTATCCATTGATCAATGTGTCTTCACTGCTAGTAAGAAGTAAATTATTACTACATAAGAATAAAAATAGCTTATTATTGTTTTCTCCGATAGATTGGTTAGATGGCATTACTGTATATTGTGCTGTTGGTGATTTTCTGCGGAAATACAATCATACAATGATCGCCTATCTTCCTTCACCAATACCTTCGATCATATCTCAAACAATGCAACAAAGTCCAATCATTCATTCTGATCGATTTCTGATACTCAAAGATGACAATCAGTAAGTTGAGCACAATGGTTACTTCGATTAGATAGTTCTTTTTCTTTTCAGTGCAATGTTTCAAGTATTCACTATGAATGATAACAATCAACTAGATCTATGTCTTGATATTTCCGTCAATATTGTTATGGACTATGCTATCAATGCAATCACTTCTCATATTTTCATTCGTGATCGAATGAATATTCTGTCAATTTATTCTTTGTTATCAGGCAAAATGTTATGGACAAGGAAAGAATTAGAACCGATTCAATTCTATTCACTACTTTCATCTTTTATTCTCATCTATCCGAGAAAAAAGTACATTTTTCGAATCGATACTTCTACACAATCATTATTTACATTGAAATATGTTGCTGAACTACCTTTCAAATGCAGCAATGGCCAATTGTTAAGCACTACTTCTTTCGACCATCGACTCTTTATCATGTCCGAGGATCAATCAACTATTATAGAATTCAATGGACATAACGGAATTTTGACTCAATTACCATCGATTCGATTTAACTCGATAAAAATTGTTCAATTACATTCTGTATCCAATTCTCTTGTCTTTCAAGGAAATAATCAAGAAATTTTCATTTGGTCGAAGAATACAAATTCACCAAACCGCCTGGAACAAACTGATCGTCTTATTTTGAAAAATAATCGACTTGTTCTAGTTTGTAATGATCATCGAATGTTGGTTCTGTATGATTTAAAAGAAAAATTACGTGGAACTATTCGATTGGATGAAAATGCTGGTGATTGCGATGCATTGTGTTTGAGTGATATGAATGATCAGTGTCAACAATATCTCTTTATAATTTGTCTTGATCGACTTTTGCGCATGTTTCGAGTTACTGATGGCCAACGTATCGAACAATTATTTATTCACACTCAATTGTGTCCATTTGTCAGCATGATAAACAATCGACTATTACTTAAAGTAGCCAATCGATTATGTGTACTCAAACTGAACGATCAAAAATCCCTGCCGAAAAGGTAGATTGATTATTTGAGTGGATAAAACGTAGTAGCATGTGTTCACTATTCTAGAATATCGCCAACCAAGTGTGTTCTATTCGAAACAGATAAATGGATAACCTGTCATGGATTTTGTTCGTGGGACTAGTGCGACTTCTACATAGATAAGAATTTTCAATAAAGTCGTTCCTTGACAGCAATGAAACATATTTATTCTTATGTATAGTTTACGTGTTAACATTTTCGGGATATGAGGAATGTATTACATAGTGCAAACTAGTAATAATTTTAGAGTTTTGCAGACTATGATATATTTTATGATCGAACAAATATAACAAACAATTTCTTTAAATATTTCTTCTCTATATCATTAGTCTCAGTCATTTGTCCTCATCTATCTTTGTTTTCCATCATAACCATGATTCAGTTAGAGTTCTTATTATTAAAGGACTATACTACTTCCTTCCTGCTCAAGATAACCATTTCTATTATCCGTTTCAAAATATAGTGCGCTTCACTGTTTTTTGAATAACTCAAGAACACAAATAGCTAGAGACCTGTGATTTTCACCAATCGAAAGAGGAGACAGGGGGACGTCTTTTTCTCCAACATTGTATAAGATGAAATCATTATAAAATAAGTCATTTCCCCAAAACATTACAAAAAGTGCATAAAAACGATCTAGCATTCCAAGAAAATTTTGGTTTTGACATGTGATCTAGATAGAGGGACTTTGTATCTATAGTTCAAGATATAATTCAAATGATTATCTTCCCACATCCTAATGTTGAGCAAACAAAATCGTTTCTTTACTTGCACGAAAACTGAATTTCTTTTAATTTTTAAGCAAATTTTCTTACTTTTCGTCGAAATTTCCTCGGACTGATAGAC